GGCAGTTCGGAAGAATTACAGGCTACCCACCACCGCTTTACTCCACCAACCAAAAATTGCACGGGTGCATTATCGATTCATAACATAGCTACAATATCAAGCTATGTGTGTGATAGAACTAACCATCGTTTTGTTGCAGGTATGACCATAGAAAGAGGTACAAGGACAAGGATTGGCGCATGAAGCACTACGAGTTCATCCAACTGTGGGACACCAGGTAGTGGATACTGGTCCATGCGGATCCGCCACACGACCAGCACACCTTCAACGAGTACCTCCGGTGGCTTCACAGGTCTACGAGGACACATATCAAGCCCCCCTACACTGAGGATGCAATTGACGATGACTCAGAGGAAGATGTCATTGAAGATGTGTACGACATTGCCACTAGGGAGGAGACACAACCATAGAGAACCCCGCTACAGAGATACGTGGTAAGATACTTGAATGCTACAAATTGTTATCCATTTGGCATTTATTAAGTGTACTAAAATGGTCCAACCTCATTTCTGTACCCAGGCCACACAATTGTCAATGTTGTCCAACGAAGCAGCGTTTTGACTTTATGAGTCTAGAGGGCAGGGGCCAGGCTTTCTACAGGGTTTTGTGGAGGTACACAGAAAGTTGTCCAATATGAAAATGTTCATTTAGTCTCTACACGCTTGGTGAATAATTTTTCTTTAACCTATGTTGATGCAAAAAGTGAAGAAGAGCTGCAGCAAGCTAGCTCAAAAGTTGAGCTGCATGGATACTCCATGGGAGGAACCCCACTATTCGGTGCGGTAGGGTGGCATGGCTTCGGCTTCTTTGAGGACACTAGCTGGTTCTTCTGAACCAATGATAGGTGCAATGTTCATTACTAGTTCAAATACATGGGTACAATGTTCGTAATATGGGTACAATACATCAATAGTTCAAATGAAACACAAGACATCACAATGAAAGTTTTAGTACAATACAACATTGTTCATTACTAAAGCATGGAAATCCTGAGTCAGAAACATACTGAGTAAGCAACTCGTCATCCGAGTACTAATCCTCTACCACAACCTCATTGATGTGGCTAGGCTCACCTGCAATGCCTTGATCTGCCTGTCGCATGTAGTAAGCGACCTCCGCTTCATCTGCCGCCTGAGACAAGAACATGTTCTCCTCCACCTCGTTCATATGGCCAGGCTCACCTACATTGCCCTGATCTGCCTGTCACCTATAGTAAGCGACCTCTATTTCATCTGCATCCTCTGTGGCTTGAGAGAAGAACACGTCCTCATCCTCCTCCGCCTGCAAGCCCACCTCTGCTAGAGCGATGAGCTCGCTCAGTCTGCCAGTGTCATCCTCATCCTTCTCCGCTTGCAAGCCCGCCTCCGCTAGAGCGATGAGATCACTCAACCTGGCAATGTCGTCCTCATCCTCGTCCCCCTCATTGTCCAACACAATCGGAGATAGAACGCTGTGACCAGCTCGCATTCTGTGCTCATGTAACTTCTTTTCCACATACCTTGCACGGGCCACCTCTGCGGCATGCTCCCCGTTGCATCCAATCCCTTCATGTATAAAATACAACAAGTTAGCAACGCGATTATATTACATATAAAAGCACGCGACAAAAATAACAAGGCTTCCAATGACTCACTTGCATACAATGCAGCAACATGGTCGTTCAAGACCTGCATCTGTACTCTTTCCTCCTCCATTGCAGCCTTCCTTGCCCTCTCCTCCTCTAACACCCTCCGTCTCTCCAACCCCTATTTGTCAAACTTGACACCGATTGGGTTACGAATACCATTATGTCTAGTAAACTCACGCATGTCCTTCTTCCGTTGTTTAACGAACATGTCGATGTAGTTAGGTCCATATCCCCTCTTCCGTGCAATTACTTGCCTCCCCTTCAACTCATCCAAGAACCTAGCTTGACCATCATAAGATTCTCACTTGTATTTCCTAGTGCTCTGTTGAAACGAAAAAATAGATCATAAGTCTTAGCAAAACAAAAAAATTGATTTCATGTCTTCCACAACAATAACCAATCTCATCATAATCAACCATATGGCCGTAATAATGGCATATTCAAAGCTCCGAAGGAACTAGGCTGTAGTTGGATTTAACACCACAATCGCACATGACAGGTGGTGCTTTCAAAATTACCCTTTCTTTCTTCTTTTCCTTTTCCTTTTCCTTTGGTGGCTCCGGCTATTGATTCTTAGGACCATAGAGCCACTCCTTGAAATGACACTTCGCAAATGCAAACACCTAAAAGAGGTGAAATTAGTACATGAACACCTATAGCTCAACATTTCAACAGATACACTATCCACTTACTTCATGCTTGTTTGGACACACAAACTCCAATGTATTCTCAGGGTTTATCACAGCTCGATCTCCACAATAGCACAGAGGAGGTTCCTCGAGTCGTCTAACTGCGGCTAAGTGCTTCTCCTTAGCCATCATTGTCAGAGGGTTAGGGGGAGGTGGAACCCACCGCTTGAAGTGCTCACGTGGATGTCTCCCTCTCCAACAATTATCGAAAACGAGGTACCTTGGGTTAAACTTGTCTGTACCGTCGATCCACTGAAAGAAAAAGCACCTCTCATGGGCCTACACAACAAGATTCCAACAAAATATTAGTAACCTAGTAACACAAATGAAGAAAAAAACATACGGAAAGAATTACTTACATTAAAACGACTACATGTGTAGAAGCAATGAACCGCTATGTCCGGATGTCTCGATTGAAACATGTCGGCCGGACAACCACAGTCATAGTTAGGGACAGGGAGGTCAGGAGGGATGAGGGCATCTTTGCTAGACGCGTCAGGATACAATTCTCTAGGACGACTCCGTTTTTGCCACAACTGCTCCCGATACATGTCTTGCATCTAATAAAACGGTTATAATTTAACATCAATCAAAACTTTGCAAATTAATGTAAAGGAGAATCATTTGCATTACAACTAAAATAATACCTCACACTAAACATGGTAGCATGCTTCTAACTAACTAATTAACCTTAACAATGACAAAATTGAACTAATATTTTTCTCCAAACCCTAGCCCAAATATACTTATCCTCCAAACCCTAGCTACCATTCATAATCTTTGAATCCACCGTTCAAACGACAAATAAGAGCATCATTACCGTGACCGAGGCCGAGGAGAAGCTTAGGGAAGGGAGGGAGGGAGACGGGCAGGGAGGGTCGGGCGATGGCAGGCTTCTGTGAGGCAGGAGGGGTGCAGCGCAGGCGCCCTCACCTCTATTTGACGTAAGGCAGAGAGAGGAAGGGAGGCTTGCGGCACGACATTAAGTCGGCCCTGCCGTGCTGTGAGTGATGGCGCGGCACTGCCGCGCAAAATGGGCGGCACGGCATCGCCTGCCACGTCAGCCGGTCAGGGCCTGTGCCCCTGCCATGTCATCGCCTTTGCCGCACCGCCATACATGACGCGGCAGCGTTGTTTGGCCGCGCCGTGGTAATAGGCACGGCCAAAAGTGTTGGATTTGAAAATAAAAAAAATAGTGTCAAATTTGAAAATAATTTTAAAAAAAGTGTTAAAAATAAAAAAAATCATAGCTGTTGTACTAAGCCACACCACGCCACCTCAGGCAAAGGGGCTGAGCCGTGCTGCATTGTGCCACCGTGTGCTCGGTCGGCGAGAGGAGAGGAAATGGGGAGAAAAGAGATTTCTTAACCACTGACGTGTGGGGTCTCACCACCAAAGGATGATTTTTTTTTCTCAATCTACTAGAACACATATCCTTTATACTCTACAACTTACTTTTTTTCAATCTCCTATACAAGATTTTAAGAGAAAAGGGAAAAGGGATGGGGATGTTGATCCTAACTACTATCGACATGGGTATTTTATTTGATAATCTTTGTTAACGTTAACCTTTGTTGCCCAAAAAAAAGGGTAGGGCTTACTTACCACTGAGGTACGTACCTGAACAATTTATTCCTTACAACACAAATTGAGGAATCGGCTCTTTGAAGACCATACGAATGAATTTGGTCCCTTCTTATTTGTAGTATTTTCACTTTGTTTCATCCAATTAATAATCACTTTCACAGTTGAAGTAAATAAAGTTTGTTTGGATTAGCTAGAACTAGTTACTAGTTGAAATAAATAATATTCTAAAATAACTAAGGTTGGTTGACTAATTGGCTAACAACTATAGTTGAACACTTAAGAAGAAAATTAACTCATTTATTAGCCTCTTGTTTGGATAGGCTAAGGCTAATTTTAGCTAGCTAGTTGAGCACTTAACAAGAAAATTAATTTGTTTATTAGACTCTTGTTTGAACAGGCTAAAGCTAATTTTGGCTAATTTTATCTAGCTAACAATTAACCTTTGGTATACGAAACACACCTATAAACTAGGTAAAAACTAACAAATAAACATTCCTTGAAAGAAAAGTTGATAAACTTATAAAAAAATACTTTTTCTTGGTTATTTTTGTTATTGAAGTTCTAGTACTAGTTTTGATCTCGCTCATTTTCATGGATAAAATGATTTTTAATGAAACATACGAGTAACGAGCTTTTCAATCAACTTGACAAGTTGAAATTACTCGATCAGTAGCAAAAAAAAATGCTGAGATGGGTGTCAAGCATATAATCGCAACTACAAAATTTATACAAGTCCAACTAGTTTAACTTTGATTAATATAATGAACTATTAATAAATATGTCTCTAGCTAAATTTATTGTAAAAATATATTTTATAAATAATTTTTTGTATTGTAAATATTAGTCTTTTTATATAATTTTAATTAAATTTTAAATTGTTTGAGTCCACGAAAAACGATAATTATATCATGGTGTTTACATTTATTGGTACGACACTTACGTAAAATGGTGATACCGAAACGTCTTAACTTTTCGTTTACGTAGAACCATTTTTCCGCCTTCGTAGTTCACGTCACAGGGCTCTTGAGTGACCATCCCGTCCACCCGCCGCGCCGCAAACCCGCACGGCCGCACCTCCCCTTCCCGCCGCACCGCCAATGGCTTCGCGCCTCCGCCTCGTCGGCCCGACCCCAAGCACAGACGCGAACTCCGCCCTGAACCAAGGCGTCTCCGGCAAGGCAGCGGGGGAGGGGGAGCGAGTGGGAGAGGCGAAGACGCCGGAGCCGCCGCGGCAGGATGTGACGGACCTTGGCGGCGGCAGCGAGGTGATCTACATCCCCCGGTTCGTGGACCGGGAGAAGGCGTGGGAGTGGTTCGACTACCTCGACAAGTCCATCCCCTGGACGTCCCCCGAAATCCGCGTCTTCGGCCGCTCTGCCAAACAGGTCCGTACCGCCTCCAATAGCCATTTCTTGCGCCGCTTTCGGAGGTTGTTTAAGCATTGGGCCGACCGGTAGGCCTGCCATTTGGGCGAAATCAAATGCTAATCTTGCAAGATATTTGCTCTTGCTCCGTCGTGGTGAACCATTGGAACGGGGATACAATATATTGGAACGGTGAGCTTGGTCCCTGACCAAATTTTTGCCTTAAGGCATTATTGACTTATTATTGGTTCTGTCTCTGGGTAGCCAATGTGTTTTGGTGAAACAATCAAGTTCCAGCAGATTAGCAATTTATTAGCTATAAAAATCTGATCATACAAGGGGCTCGAGGCTGTACCATTTGGTTTTATATGTCAGTACATGCACCTTGCTGGTTTGGGGTTTTGTAACTTTTGCTCCAAATGAAGCTTAAGCTTAAGTTATGTGAAGCATTTGCCATTCATGTAAATTGATTGAAACCAAGCATTGTTCATCAAACTGAAGTTTACATCAGTAGCGAGCAGGGACTCAACTTATAAACTCTAGTGTCGAGCAGTACTAGAATAGTGTGAGCTGTGGTTGAGAGGCCAAGGGTGCAACTCATATGTAGGGTCACTGCAACAGAAGTCTCCATCAATACAGCTTACTGGTAGGACCCCTTGCCAACTTATAAGACGCTTTGTTTTTTCTAGATACATTACTTTTGCTATGTATCTAGATATACAACTATGTCTAGATACATAGCAAAAGTAATGTATCTAGAAAAGCTAAAACGTCTTATAATTTGGGATGGAGCTAGTATCTGTTACAGAAAGTAATAGGCAAACGGTGGGTCTTCAGCAGAACTTCATTAGCAGAAGAGATGGACATTAGTAGAGTGGCAAAAGAGATGTGTGATTCTTCGGTTGCTGAAGAGAGAATGTATTTCCCATTAGTTGGGGAAGCAAACTTTGGTAGGAAGCCACTAATCCAGGTATCTCTTCCTCTTGCTTTTTCTGCAGCCTAGAGATGTGTGCTATGTTGCAGATGAAGGGTTAACAGTTTTGAAATATAGTGGTCATCAGCCTCATGCACATTCTTGGGATGAATTCCCCGTGCTCAAGGACATCTTGAAAGTGGTAAGGAGTGTTCCATAGATACTCTTCATATTGTTATTGTAACCGGATCCTCTAGTTTGTGTTTGACAACTACTCTACTACAGTAGGCGCGCCATTGCAACGTATCAGAATTCATCATTTCTTGTGATTTACTGATTCATTAATGTTCATTAGGTTCTTGAAGCCCTTCCAGGGAGCTATTTTAACAGCTTGCTCCTGAACAGATACAAGACAGGTTCAAACTACGTGTCATGGCATGCTGATGATGAGCCCCTCTATGGACCGACTCCAGAGATAGCATCTGTTACCTTTGGGTGTGAGCGTGACTTCTTACTTAGGAAGAAGCCTACCAAATCGCAAGGTACGGTCATATTTTCTTATCGTAGCGCATCATTAAGCCGGTATTGATTCGCTATAAACATATACCAGCCACTTCTGGATCTGGTGAAGCTGGTCGAAAGCGGCTCAAGGTCACTGCATCTCAAAAGCAGCATTCTTTTCTTCTGAAACATGGCTCGCTGCTTGTGATGAGAGGCTACACCCAACGGGACTGGCAGCACTCAGTTCCGAAGAGAGCCAAAGTGAGCTCACCAAGGATCAATCTGACTTTCAGGCATGTACTGCCAAAGTGAGCTCACCAAGGATCAATCTGACTATCAGGCATGTATTGTCCTAAACAGCCTTAGCTGGAAAGTTTTGTGGTTCTTGCTCACTTGAAGGTTTTGCGGCAATGTATGTATGATATGATGAACATCACACATCAACCTAGTTCACATGCGGGCTTGTGTTTAGCACTACTCACTGAACAGTTGTGCCCAACATGTTACGCAAGTTTTCTTGTTGCTGCACAGCTATGACCGCAGACTGGAAACACTGCAAACCTCGGTTTGGGAACAAAAGGAAGTTGCATCTATACGGACATACGGTCCATCACGTGCATATCAGATCTAAAAATGAGATGTTATGCTATCTTCTTGAATTCAGAATAGCACTGCCTCAACGAAAGCTGAAGCATACATTATTATTATCATTACTAAACCGATTTTCGGACCAAACAATGCAAGTCTCCGGAACATTCTTTTTAGCGTGTTGATTTTATGCTCTAAAGCCAAGCGACACATCACTTGCATTGCCGGCAAGCTGCAACTCCTGCAACACACCTTTACCATCATGTTTCGTGGATTGTTCTGCTAAACATCAAAACACGGTACAAAACTAATGCATTAATTATTGCCAAACTACAAACAGAAACCATATTGTGTCCAAATACTGAATCTCCAGCGTCAGATCTTGATCCAAAGTACTAGGGCAATCAAACGGGGGCCAAAAATTGGATGCCCACAGCTAGTTTTACAAGTGTCACTGGTTTATTGCCTACAACATTTCTACAAGAGTTTAACGACAAAGCACTATGTCCTGCAAAAGAGCTAATAGATATGTTACATAACCTCTGACCCTCTCTAAGATATACAAGACAACCCGGGGATGCCATGCCATAGCTTAATGGGCAACAGGTGCCCGCTTCTAATAACATTACAAACAAATCCTATCCCACTGTTCTATACTAACATGTTGCTATCGAAACAAACATTTCCTACATTACAACTGTCAATTGCAAGGGGTCAATCAATGAGATTTACACATTCCCGAACGACTGCCTGCCTGTGAAATCTGCATCCTACTATGAATGGTCAGCTGAGAAAGCAAGACTATGTTGCTTTTGCTGTACGTTTTTTCCACACGCTCTGCACATTCAACACGAAACAAATTGGTGAGAATATTAAATCAAAAGACGAGAAGATTGGGCTCAGTATCAAAACATAGGTTAGGTTCGGAACACAGAATGCACTCACAAGAGTTTCGTTGTCTGATTCCACCTTGTTGCTCAAAGTATGGTCATCAAGCTGTTCCACATCTTTCATTTCCACATCTTTGGACTCCTTTCCTGCCTTCCCTTTCGTTTCGACATCTTTTGAGTCCTTCCCTGCCTTCTCTTTCACTTCCACGTATTTGGACTCTTTCCCTGCCTTCTCTTTCATTTTTACATCTTTTGAGTCCTTCACTGGCTTCTCTTTCACTTCTGTATCTTTGGATTCTTTCCCTGCCTTCTCTTTCATTTCCACATCTTTGGACACCTTCCCTGCCTTCTCTTTCATTTCCACGTCTTTGGAATCCTTCCCTGCCTTCTCTTTCGTTTCCACGTCTTTGGAGTCCTTCCCTGCCTTCTCTTTCGTTTCCATGTCTTTGGAGCCCTTCTCTGATTTCTCTTTTGTTTCCACGCCTTTGGAGTCCTTCCTTGCCTTCTCTTTCATTTCCATGCCTTTGGTGTCCTTCCCTGACTTCTCTTTTATTTTCACATCTTTAGAATCTTTCCTGGCCTTCTCTTTCTCAGCTGAGCTAACTACTACTTCCTCCATGTGGCTATCTGTGGCATAAAAGAACACATTAGGCTCAGCTATGACGAAGGCATGCATATCATGAAAACAACAGGCTCATACAATCAATGATAACTCATTAAGCAATCGTACCAGAGTTTACATCTTTGTCAACATCTGAATGAACAAGAGAACTGGATGAATCTGAATCATTACCACCAACTCCACTACCCTCTTCGACAGAATTGTTTCTTCCTGCAGTCTTTCTTCGTTTGTTCTTTGGTTGCCCTTTCTTCTTTGGAGGTAAGGACCTATAAAGATGGAGTAAAAAGATGAATTGCACCATGGTTACGAAACTGAATCATTACCACATTTCAAGTCCATACTGGCTCACCTCTTTTTTGACTTCGGTTGGCTAGGCGGAGACTTGCTGCTGCTAGTTCTCTCCAGTGCTCTGCAAGGTGACTAGGTGTCAATACTTTATAAATGACACCACACGTTACTATACATATACAGAGGACTTCAATACTAAATTTATGTTTAGTTATTTATGTTAATCCAATCCAATGCTGTGTATGGGCTTGTTTCTTAGCTTCCAACAGTGGCACAGCTTACCTTCCTTGGTTTGTCCCAAGATGATCCTTCTTTTGCTTCTGCAATATTGAGTAAACAAAAATGAGTCAACAGTATCTTTTACATTGAAAAAGACAAGGAAAGCATTAATAATACTCCACCTTCACTGATGAGTCATTACTTTCAATCAGTATCCACTTCTCTTTAGCCAAGCTAAGCACTTCAATATCTCCGTCATCGTATAGCACCTATGAAGGGAAGTAAAATCGTATAAGTACATCCACTGTGTCTACAAATTTCTAACAGTTTGGACTGAAATTATCATCTCTACAACTTCCACATGTTGAAATGGCATTGAGTTGATACTATGTGTAACTGAAAGTTGCTACTGTGAGCACCAAGCACTCACAGTCCAGTGGTATAAACAGACAATACTAAAGTTATACCGGTGGTTCAGTATTTTTCACCTTTTGGAAAGGTGACCTAAAGCATAAATACACACTGCTAAAGCACAGCTGCTATAGTGGTATTGGCGATTTGCAAGTGGCTTAAATAGCAGCAGCTAATTGTCATTTTGTACTTGCAAAATCCTGTGCACAATCATCATGTGAGGGCAGGTAATGGTACCTGAGTAAACACTTCTTTACACAAAGAAATGACATATATTGTGTTTTTTCCTCAAACAATACAGCATACCCATGCGTGTCATCTCATTAAGCAAAGAGAAGTACAAGAGGCTACAGATACGGTGTTTTGTATACCATTTTCAGATTTAAAATTTAAAATGATCAAATACACACTGTGTTACTTAATGGAAATATTTTCTTAAATATACTTAATCGAAGTATTTATTTGTAAGCTTCAAAATATCAAATATTTATCTAAAAAGTTCAATTTTAAAATTTCTGTGGAAATAACATTTTAGCTGAGATAGATTGAAACGTACAAAAGTGTTACCTAGGCAATAAACAACAAAGACACTACATAGCAAACACTATAAAGGAACAAGATGTTTGCAACAGCTTCAGATGCCACAAGTCATTACAATAATCATGATTTAAAACACAAGTATAAACTAATATTCTGTGACACTAAAGTTTTTAAGCAACAACAGTAGTACCTACCTTACTCATTTAATAACAATACAAGGCAGACCAGAAAAAGTCAAGTTTTTAAGCAACAACAGCAGTACCTACCCTACACATTTAATAACAATTCAAGGCAGACTGGAAAAAGTCATTACATTTACAAATACTCAGTTGCATTCACCAACATAGAAAGTGTCCAAACACAAGTAAACTGTTCTTTACGGTCGTACTTACAGCAGTAAAGATGGATGAAACAAATTACAGAGAATAAACTATTAATGCGTCATTTAGGGGAGCTTACCGTATGTTTTTTCTTGGATGAATCGTATGATTGCACAGCACCTTCATAAAATCTAATAACAAAAAAAAACTTAAAATCAACCCCACCTTCAGTAATAAACTAATTGCAATAACATAGTACAGATAACAATAACATTTACAAGACAACATACCTCTTATCCATAGGCCACCAAACTTTTATTCGGTGTCCTATCAAGTCTTTACCGCTTGAGTCCTGTGTTGCGCACTGCAGGCATAAACACATTCTTAGCAGCCACAAGACAATAGAAGGAAAATTGTTTGCACAAATTTGAATATGGCCAAGAATATATATGCTTCCTTCCAAATGATTGGCATGATTTGCACAAAAGTTGTGGCTAATACAATGGGCTTATAGAATAGAATAGAATTATAATCAATTAATCATTACCTTTACTAAACCAGAAATTGGTTTTGACTTTTGCCTTTTGAGTGACCCATTTAGACTTCTCGGTTCAACAGTTCTCTTAGCACTGTCTGAATCAGCAGACTTCTGAAAAGGTTGAATAAGAATTGAAAAAATCATAAACTAAACCTCAAAAGTTTTGTTGATACATAGATACCATAGAGACGTAAGAAATCACCTTTGGGAAACTGTTCAAAGTATCAATATGGGATTTCTTCGCACCCTTATTTCCTTTAGATACAGGGGTTTTAGTGCTAGGAGATACTAACAGTTCCGTATCAGTTGAATCATCTCTGTTTTTCTCCTTCAATTTAGTTTCCAAGGAGATAGTGGTTCTCTCTGTGTTAGGCGTATGTAGTAGACGTTCATCACTGTTTTTACTACCTTTTGCTGAATGTGGTCTACTCTTAGAAATTGATCTTTTGCGTTTAGGTGAAGAAAAATCAAGCGGTTTCTTGTTACTATCTTTTGTATCTGTCTGGTGCTTCTTAGGCTTGCCCTTTGGCGATTTCTCCAAATCTTCTTGGTTGTTCAAGTTAATTTCTCTTACTAAACCCAGGACATCATCATCGTTCCCTGCATTTACTGAACTACTAGATGGTGCCTTCTGCTTTTTCCCCGCCTTCTTTTCTCCTCGCGATTTAAGAAGTTTGACAATTTTCCCAAGAGGAACTTCATTTCCAAATTCATCAGTCACGTCAATAAGCATCTTATGTTTGGGAGATTCAACCTGGAAATACATTAAAAAAACAAAATAGTGCAGTTGAGACAACAGATAAAGAAAGCTGAGCTACAATATCAACAACCTATTATGCATTAAATACCTTATCCATGTTTGCAGTCATTACAGCCTCAAAATGAGCCAGTATTTT